TGTGGAACAGCAGTCCTGTGGTTGGTTGAGGGTCAGCATTGTTGGTTGCAGGTGAGCATTGTTGATTGCAGGTGAGCATTGCTGGTTGCAGGTGAGCATTGCTGGCTCCAGGTCAGCATTGTTGATTGCAGGTCAGCACTGCTGGTTGCAGGTGAGCATTGCTGGCTCCAGGTGAGCACTGCAGGTTGCAGGTGAGCACTGCTGGTTTCAGGATTCCAGGCGTGCAGTCCCGTGAATGCCGAGAGCTCAGCGCGGTGCTCTCTCCTTACCTTGGAGCGGCTCAGGGGGATCACGTGCAGCCCTGGGCAGCTGCTCTTACCTAGTTCAGCAGTGCTTGCCTGGCTGGGAACAGCTCAGCATCCTGCTGAAATTACAGAAGGGCTGAAAACATAACCACCAGTGCTGGCACCGGGCCAGCACCCTGACACAAACCTGCATGGAAAATTGCTTTGGCATCTGTATTGACTGGAGATAATTGGAACTTCCCAGTATTTTTTCAGCTTATCCTAAAACCTTTTAGCAAGAACAGCAGCCAGGCCAGCAGTGTGTAGCACGATAACCATGTTTCCCTGCTGTTGACACAGGACTAAAGTGCCAAAGAGGCACAAAAAACGTTTCCCCAGAGACCTGTGGCTGGTGCTGGCTCTGAGCTGATGGTGATCCCGACACTGGACCGTGTGCTGCCTGCTCAACAGTGTAAATGTGTCTTAAGAATGAGCATATAAATAACTCTTTATGTCTTAGAATGAGAATGGCATTAAAAATACATCTTCTGTATACCATGCTGGCTGGTACAGGAAAGGAGTTGAATTTCCCTCAGAACTTTGAACTCACAGGCACTTGTTCAGGGGAGAACTGTCCTCTGAGCTGGCACTCAGGCTTAGCTCTTGCTTTTGTGAAGCTGTAATTTTTTGCCCAGATTTAGCAAAGTTGGGGGCTGGACTGGAGTAAGGAGGGAGCAATTGGTTGTGGTCTGAGGCTCTGGCAGCTGAAAGGCCTTGAGGCTGAGGAGGTGGTGGTTTGTAGACCTGGAGTGGGCAAGGAGGAAAGGTGGATCAGCTGTTGGGAAGGTAAGAGCCAAGGTAGGGGTATTCATTTCAGCCCGATGCTGTGAGAGACACTCAGAGTTCAGGGGGTGCTGGGTGGTGGGTCCTGCTGCCCCTCTCCTGTCACACCTCACTGGGGAACTGAGCTGTGTTTGATGCCAGCTGTGTTTGATGCCAGCTGTTTGACCACAGCAATGCTGCTCCTGAGGTCCCTGCATCAGCACAGCTCCCTCTGAGCTGTTCTTTGGGCCTGAATCTGAAATATGGGCTGCACTCTGCAATAAAAAAGGTTTCAGGTGCTTCCAGTGCTTCCAATAACCTGAGTGGGCACCTTCACCCCCACCTTAATGTGGTAAAACTTTTATCTGCAGTGCAGCAGTTTGGGGCCAGTGCCGTTGTCTTTGCACAGCCAGTAATCAACATTTGGGGGATTTGGGAGGTGAAGGATAGACCAAAGCTCCCAAATCATCTCCCGTGCACAGAAAACTTGACAGGAAATCTCTGCAGGTGTGGAGTGCCAAGGACATCCCTGCCATTTCAGACACTCAGGTTCACAGGGGTTGTGGCACGAGAGGCCCGTGAGCAGATGCACCTTCAGCTCTGACCCAGCACTCCTGGAAGGAGCAGGACTCCCCATTCTCTGCATGTCAGACTGGCAGTGCTGAAGCCAACAAGCAGTGGAAGGTGTAATAAATGTAGAGAAATTCAAATTAGGGTGGTATTTTTCACACCTTCTGGTTTAAATGTGGAGTGGCCACCTGAGTGGCACCATTCTTGATTCTGTTGTGCCTTTCTGGACTAAATCCTGGGTACCATCAGAACCTGGGAAGGAATGTTTCCCTGGAGGGAGCTGGGCTGCTTTTCCCAGTGGCAGAATTGTCCTGTTTTCATGTGCAGCCAGTGGCAGTTTAATAATAAAGTAACCACGCAGGTTCAGTGGGTTGTGCACAGTTCATGTGAGGTGTCCTCAGCTGACCTGCAGGAGTCAAAGGTGAGGGGGAGAAGGACAACAGGGTGTAATTTTCCTGTGACTTGTAGAGGTACAGATGTTTCAGGATCCTCTTGAATGTGGCTTCACCTGATGTATTTGTGTCACTGCTGCATTTGGAAGGTGCTTCCAGGCCATGTGTCCGTGTTGGTGTTCCACTCCTGTATCAGAAAGCTTTAGTTTAATTTTTATTACTTTATTTATTTATTATGTTCTGAATGTCTCTCTGCTCTGAGCTCTCGGGGTGCTTTAGCTGGGCTCTCCCTTGCACAGAATGTAGTTTTCTGTGCCAGTGGGCTTGTAAGCCAATACCACGATGTGCACATTCTAACGAGGGTAAGCTCTGGAGGTGACTTTGTTAATTAGCCAGGATCCAGGGAAAGGCCCTGTGCTAACGAGGCATTAGCAGTTGGTCTGAAGAGTCCCACCCAGCTGTAGTAAAGATTTAGGAGGAGGTTCTTGAGGTTAGGGGAGCTGGGTTTTTTTTTTTTCCTAAAGTTTGATTGTTCTCTTTTTGCTGCTCAGCTTCAGTGTTTCCTTCTGCTGAGCAGGGCACTGTGAACAGAGGTCCCCGATCCTGCTGGATCTCCCAGGAGCTGGGAGGAGGGAACTGAACCCCTGGAGAGGAGGGGGTGCTTCTCACACCTCACTGCTGATTTCTCATTTTGGGGGAAAAAAACCTCCCGAAAAAAGTCTTGTGATTACCAGAAAGTTTTGATGATGGCTGAGCTGTAAGGAATTGGGAAAAACCCAACAATTTTTAAAATTTTTTAGTGTTTTCTCTAGATTTGATCTGAGGTTGATGGAAGTATTGTACAGAAAGCTAAAGAAAGAATCCGAACCTGATCTCTCCAGGGATTTTGGAAAATGTGAAATGTTAAGAAAGTAGGGATTGGGGAAGCTGTGTTGGTTATGGGTCCCTTATCTCTTCCTGGCTCCACTGTGGGCTATAAGAGGGGGAATTAAAATAATTTGCTTTTTTCAGCAGCCACCCTTTGGGCTGAAGATCCCCAGCGGGATTTGTTCTCCAAAAACGAGACAAATGTGGCTGGGGAGAACAATAAAGCTACTGCTGCGGGTTCAGGAGCTCTTAGAAACGACTTGTAATTTGAGATCCTCGACTTGCAGCAGCTTCAGGGAGAGAGTGGGGGTTATTTTGGGGTCTGAATGTGAGCAGTGTGGAGGGAGGCCCTGCAGGGCTGGAAGCAGCTGTGTGACGTGCTGTATCCCAGGGCCATGTCCCAGTTTCCTCCATTGGAATGTCCATTTTGCAGCCCTGGTGTAGTTTTTAAGACTTTTAGATGAAGTCTGCATGCTTTATACTTTTTTTCCTTCCTCCTTTTTTTTTTTCCCTTTCCTCTTTCTGTCCATATTTTTTCAATGTCTCTGGGTCTGCTCCTAAAAGTCAGTGGGGCTTCCTGGGAAGTGCTGCTCCAGTCCCTGTGGCAGACTGTGGTGTGTAGAACTGAGGGCTTTGCATGCTGAGAGGGGTTTCTGTTCAGCAGCCCTGGAGCTGACAGGTGTGTTATTTGCATGTGTAACCCCTGAGTTGTGTTGGCAGGTGGGCTGTAACGTCAGAGGAGCCATTTGATAGCAGAGAGGGTTGTGCATTGATCACAGCAGTGTGATCTGGCCATTTGCTCTTCTTCAGCTCTTTTCTCAGTGCAAATAAAGCCCAGTTTCAGTGAAAGCTTCAGAGGGCCTTTTGGCTGTGGTGGCTGACAGGTTAACAGCTTGTGGGCACTGTTTCACTTGTTTCACTTGTTTCAAGAGTGGGGTTGTCACGTGCAGCCTGTTTTAACACTGAATTTTACTCAGATTCAGCTTTCTGTTTGTCACATGTCACATGATGGAGGCAACTCATGTCAGTGCTGAAGAACCATTAGGTACAACCATGTCTAGAGGAGCTGTGTGTGTGGTGTTGATCTGGTGGTTTCTGGCAGCTTGCAAAGAACAAGATTCCCCAAAGGGCTCCAACTTTGGAAAGGGAATTCTTTGGGGTGTGAGTTGCCTTGTGTGGTGTGCATCTGCTGCTCTCCTTGCTGGGGGACTTGTGAAGGCCATGGCAGCCCCAAAACAGAACTGACCGGTGAGCTGATGCTTCAGGAGTCCTTCACTGAAGTGAATGGTGCAGTGTAAGGTGCCAGAGAGCAGATGAGGTGCTGTTGGGTTGTGCCTCCCTTTTTACCATCTTGCAGCCCCTCTGGCTCCTTGGATGCCTGTGACTCTTTGTCCTGATTCATTCTGATTCCAGAGCCACGTGTGAAATTTCGATGCCTTTATTCCCCATCCTCAGTCACCTTCCTCTGTCTGCCAGAACCACCAATACAAACCCGTGTATTTGGATGCAGTGCTGGCAGAGATGAAAGGCTTTCATCCTAAACAAGTCACTTTGGCCTGGGAGTCCTGACTTTACCAATAGCAAGGACCACAGAATGAATCGTGGCTTTTTATCCCTTGTTCTTCTGTCCTGTTTTTAAAGCACAAACATCAAACCACGTGTGGGAGAGGTTTCTTCTGCTTCCTGCACAAATCAGCTTTGTAATGTAACTCAGGTGCTTCAAAGCTGGGGAGCCTTTTCAGTTCAGGGCTGTGGTGGTTCAGTGGGTGATGTGCAGCTCTGGTGTCTGTCCAAGGCAGCGTTGCTGTCCTTCAGCTTTCTTCTCATGATGGAATTAATGTGTGGGACAGGACAAGGAACCGGTGTCACTGTGTGTTTTTATGGAGGTGTTAAATGTTAACTTTGCTGCCATTCATTGAAGATTTACCCCCTCAGGTCCCCTTTAGTTCCCAGAAATAACTGTCTAGGCAGAGCTGGAAGCTCTTGAGCACAGAGCACTCCCACCATGGAGTGGTGGCATCAGTGCCCTCCCCCTTCTGACTGCTCTCCGAAGGCAGGGGTGGGGTTGAAAGCAAAGACCAGGAGGTTTCTTTGTTAATGCCCAGGGTGATTTTGTCTCCCACAGGTGGCTTTGCAATAGTGTTTCTGGTGAGGACGAGCAATGGGGTGAAGTGTGCCCTGAAGAGGATGTACGTCAATAACGAGTACGACCTGCAGGTCTGCAAGAGGGAGATCCAGATCATGGTGAGTCGCTTGGGCTGGGACACCACGCTGGGGTGGAGTGCTGGGACAGCCTGGACACCTTCTGGCTGGGATCTCCCTAGCATTGGGTCACAAACTGCATTTTCTTAGCAAAACTGGCTGTCTTTTGGAAAGACCTGACTCCAGGAGTTATGTGGCTGTGAAAATCTGGTACTGAATTATTTAAAATGTGAGTAGTTCCAGTGGACAAGCAAAACCTGGCAGCTAAAACACCCAGGGAATTTCAGGAAAATGGGGGGAGGAAAAAGAGCTCCTATGTCAGCCCTGGGGGTTACTGGGAAAAGGAAGAGCTGAAGAGGCAAGCCTGGCTGGGGGTGCTGGAATTCAGTCTGACAGTCTTCAGCTGAGAGCTGAAGTTTTCATTCAACCTGTTAGACCTCATCAGAAAAGGCTGATGGTTGTGATGTAACTGTGTCTGAACTGAAATCAGTGCAGGCATGGCAGACCCCCATCCTGAGATAAATCTATATCACAGCAGCTCTAATCCTTTGGGGCAGGAGGAAGGTTGGGCTTGGGAGATTCAAACAGTGTTTGTGGGGTGGTCACTGTCAGGGCTTTTGAAATGGGAAAGTATCTGTAACAAGCTCTGGGATATTTCTCCAGATTATATCTATACAGGATTTATATGATAGGATAGCTGGTTTTAATAGCTGTTTTAAACTTAGCATCTCTGAACAAAGACAAAATGGAGATGATCCAAATAGATTTGCCTAATCTGGTTTGCAGCCTGGTAAACATGGGAAGTGCCACTTCTGAAGTTGTGTCCAAAGATATCGATGAACATTTAGAGCAGCTGCAGGTGGGGAAGGAAATATAAAATACATAAAATCCTCATTCTGTGAATTCACCACATAAGGCACAGGTTTGGGGTAGATGATCCTTTCAGAAACTCTTACCTGTGGCAATTCTGGGTGTGATTTTTGAAGCAGCTTTTAGTGAGGTTGATACCCTGAAGTTGAAGTACTGGTGTTTGTGATAGCACAGTGAAGCTTTGGGCATGGATTGTCCTCCCCATGGCTACGTGGGGAAAGCTGAGATCAGACCTCACATCAAAGGTTTCAGCTGTGCTCACAAAGCTTGTTTCCTTGGGTTTTTCTTGCTGGTGCTTTCCGTTGTCTCCATGTCTTTGGTGCCTTGGGAATGTGTGGCTCTCCTGGAAGGTGAGGGTGAGGAGGACCCTTCTTACCCAGCAGGCCCTCTTGCTCCTGGATGGAATCCTAGGCACTCATCTTTGTCCTGAGGAACCAGGACGTTCCTAAAGGGAAACAATTCCTTCTTCCCCAGCTTTTCTGCACTCAGGAATTATTTACACCTCTGGTTTTTGCAGCCCTGCAGTGTCAGAGCAGATTGTGCCCAGCAGAGCCCTGATCTCCTTTACTGGTGAAGCTGAGCATCACACTGGGCTGGCTGTCAGACCTGGGGGTGTGTGTGAAGCTGGAATCCCAAAGAAGTGACTTTTCCCTGCAGGTTTAGCGTGTTGTCCCCACGGCAGGGGGTGGAACTGGGTGATCTTTAAGGTCCCTTCCAACCTAAACCAGCCTGTGATTCTATGAAAAGTCATTGATAACAGAACTTGTGCTTTAACCCATCGAGTTACTTAAAATAAGGCACTTTGAAAAGCAAGGTTAAGATTTATTTTGTTGGTTTAGTGTTTTGTTGTTCTTTTGGTGAAGATTCAAGATACTTTTTGTCAGCAGAAGAGTGGAAGGAGATGAGACAAGTAAGTACAACATGTACTGCATGACCTGGCAATGTGCCATCATCTGGACCAGTCCTGAACAGGTTAATGCACCAGGCTGGCTGTTTCTCTGCTGTTTGTCTCAAATCCTTCTGGCAGGAGAACAGGTAGAGACAGAGCTCAGGTTTGTTCAGGCTCTGCGTTGTGATTAACCCCAAGTGACAGGAGCTTGTGCGGTGGGGAGGAAGCAGATGAGGAGGTTGCTGGCTCTGCGTGGCTGGTTCATGGCTGCAATTTCTGTGCCTTCCAGCGGGACCTGTCTGGCCACAAGAACATCGTGGGCTACATCGACTCCAGCATAAACTCCGTGAGCAGCGGGGACGTGTGGGAGGTGCTGATCCTCATGGACTTCTGTCGGGGTGAGTGGGGGCTCGGTGTGTTGCTCAGGGGTGGGCTGGTCCTTCAGTGCCTGCAGGGAACTTGCACAGCATCTTCCTTTACCAAACAAAAAGCTGCTCCTAGGCCTGGCCCTTTCTTGGCTGCCAGGAAGCTGTTCTGAACAAAGCAAAGCCAGAACTAGGTGGGGAGAAGTGGGTTGACATGTGAGGCTGTGTGGACTCTGCTAGTGGGATTGGTACCACCTTTGCTCCTGCCCAGGGTGGTCCTGGATCCTTTCCACTGTGAAGGAGAACCCTAAAATACACATTGCTGTTGCCTGTAGGCTGGTCCACACAAGAAGTGGCCCTTCTAAAGCTCCCAGGCTGTGGGATGAAATTTTTCTTCACTTTGTGTTGCATTGAGAGCTCTGTTCCATTCCAGCCTGACTTAGGATTGTTCTGGAAGAAGTGTGACATGGCCAGTGTGAAGCCAAAAAGCATTCCTCTTACCTCTGACCTTTTTGCTTGGCTGTCTGTAGGCAGCCAGGCTCTCCCAGCCATCCCAAAGCTTTGATCTTCGTGCCTGGGATGTGGTGTTTGGAACATGATGCGTGTGCTGGGCTCAGATGCCTCTCCCAGGAAGGGTGTTTAGCAAAAACCATGCTTTGGCCAGGTGACTTCAGAAGTCTGTGGCTGGTTTGGATGGTGGCAGTCAATGCAAATAAGTATCCCCTTCCATCTGAAAGGAGGAGAGCTGCAGGATGGCATTTCTGACGTGGCTTGCTCTTGCCAGATGCTCTGCTGAGCTCGGGCCTGCCTGTCTGCAGTGCTCAGGCTGGAGTGGCTGTTACACATGGATTTTCCCTTGGGTACTTCCCTTTTGTGGCAAACAGTTTCCAAACCAGATCATTGTCTTCATGTGCATTTTGAGTGTAAAATGTTCACAGCTACACCATTTATTAAACAGTTTTTCTTTCCTACCACGGAAGTTTTCCGACACTTGGGATGTGGAGTGATGCAGTTCTGCTTGGCCAGAGCCTCAGAAGGGAGTTTGTCTCTGTATGGGGTGTTTTGAGGGGGAAAGAACCTCTGGATTGTTTTGGAAAGGCCTTGACAGTAACAAAACCTCAAAGTTGAGTCCAATTCAGGACTCGTTCATGAAAACTTGGTTTTGTTTGTCTGGAGTTTCCCTTGTTACATACAGATGGATTTTTAATTTCTTTGCCAGTTGACAACTTCAGCCAAGCCACTGAGTGTGTGGATTTTCTGAGTGTCTCCCTCCCTCCCTCCTCTTGCTTACATGGGGCAAGCTATTCTTTGGACTGTGGGTGCCTCAAATTCAACCTTTTATTCCTCTAGTCGGACAAAATAAGTCTTACTTGGAAGAAAAAAAGAAAATGACGTGGCTTAGGCAGAACAACTTGAGTGCTGACACAGCCAGGGGAGGGTGGGCTGTGGGAGCTGGTGCGCTGCTCTGGAAGCTTTGCTTGGAGCCCAGGTGAGCTGTGACACCTGCCCAGGTTGTGCAAACCCCGGGATTTGGGGGAGGAGACGAGAACAAAACAAGCTGAGTGAGGAGGCTGCAAAAAAGCCTCTGGGCAGGGAGGTTGGTTGTGAGCTCAGTTTGAACGGGTGAGCTCCTCGTGTGCCAACTGCAGAGCCCCAGCCTGGGGAGCAGACCAGGCCTGGGGCTGGGCCAGGCCAGAGCTGACCCCGTGTGCCTGTTTGTCCCCAGGGGGGCAGGTGGTGAACCTGATGAACCAGCGCCTGCAGACGGGCTTCACCGAGAGCGAGGTCCTGCAGATCTTCTGCGACACCTGCGAGGCCGTGGCCAGGCTGCACCAGTGCAAAACACCCATCATCCACAGGGACCTGAAGGTGAGCTCTGCGCTCCAGGGGCACCTGGGAGTGTCTGAAGAACCCGAATGCTGGGGCACTTTGGGGCAGCAAAGTGTAAGGAAGATGTGAAGCCCTTAGGGAGTGTCCAAAGGAGGCAACAGGATGGGGAAGGGCTTTGAGGGGAAACTGTGAGAGGACACTGAGGGCACTTGGTGTGTTCAGCTGGAGAAGAGGAGACTGAGGGGAGACCTCATTGCAGTTCCAACTGCCTGGGCAGGGGCAGAGGAGGGGCAGGACTGAGCTCTGCTCTGGGGGGACCAGGGACAGCCCCCAGGGAATGGCTGGAGCTGTGCCAGGGCAGGCTCAGGGTGGATCTCAGGGAAAGGTTCTTCCCCCAGAGGGTGGTTGGCACTGAACAGGCTCCCCAGGGCAGTGGGCACAACCCCAAGGCTGCCAGAGCTCGAGGAGGGTTTGGATGATCCTCTGGGGCACAGGGGGTGACTCTTGGGGATGGACCTGTGCAGGGCTGAGGGTTGGGTCCCCCTTCCAGCTCAGCACATTCTGTGATTCTGTGATCCTCACTGTCTGCCTGCTGCCTACGCCAGTGCCGATGCTGTGCTTCCCTCGTTAGTGATGAGGAAGAGTGGGCATGAATACACCTCTCTATTGGAAGATAAAAAAAGAAATGAGCCTCTCATTGCTGCTCACCATATGTTTACCATCTATAGATCTCCTTAAACACAAATGTTTGTGAATAATTCTGGTCTGCACATGTGCCAGAGTGTACTGGATGAATTATTCACAGTGCCTTTCTACCCCCCAAAACGCCCTGGATGATTTAAGGTTGCTCACAAAAAGGTGCTGGGAAGTTGTTACCTGGACCCCCATTAAAAGGAGCTGTTGGCCTTGGGGCAGGAGTTGCTGGGAGCTTTTGGAGCTGGCCTCTAGAGCTCTGACCGTGGAAGTGTGTCGTAAAACTGCCTGTGCTTAGCTGGGAACAGGGCTGGGCCTGCAAGGAGAGCTTGGGAGAAATCCCAGGCCTGTAATCAGGCAAACAAAAAGATGTTCCCTTTCCTCTCAACGAGCTCGTAAAATGGCAGAATAAAATATTCAGCCAAGGAGGAAGGAGGCTGCTGAGTAGATTTGAAATTCTGATGTGCTTTGTGGGGCAGATTCTATTTTCAGAGCCCTCACAGATGTTTGTTTGTGGAGCCAAGGAGAGCCAGGTAGGGCAGGAATCCTCAGGCTCTGGGGTGGTTTAGCATCTTGGAAGGGACTGTGGCCCCACTGCTCAGTCGGTTTGGACAGAGAAATTACTCCTGTGGGTGTTTCTCCAGAGGGAAACAGGTGATCTCTTATCAATTTGAGGCCTGGGTAAAGCCTGTGGGCATCCTGCAGAAGTCTGGATAGGCCAGGGAAATTGGGTTGAGAGGATGAGGAACAGGAGCCTCTCCAGCTGATACCAACCCTGCCGTTACCTTTTTGGTGAATCCCTGGGGTTTTTCATAAAGAACAGGCTCATTGTGTGGCCTGGGGATGAATCTGGGACATCTGTGCTGGATCAGGGAGCTGAGTGTTACTGTCTGCCCTGAGCTGCAGTTGAAGGGGGCTTTTGGGGTCTGATTTCCAGCTCCCACTGCCTAAATGGGGGAGGTTTTGCAAGGCCTGGCTCTTGGTAAGCTGTGCCCAGGGTCAGAGCTGGCTCTTCTCTGCTTGGAGTCATTTTCTGGTTGAATAGTGTGTTATTTCTGTCGTGGGGACCTCTGGGGATCCAAGCACGAATACAGAATTAATGATTTCTATGTATTTTGACTTCATTTGAGTTAAAACTTAATACTGCCAAGGGGGAGTTGCAAAGCCAAGAGGGACTAAGGGCCAGAGAAGTTCTGTGCAAGGAGGGTGTCCATCCTTAGGTGTTTTCTTGGGGTGAACATAACCCTGCTGAAGAGGGGCAGATGTTGATTTTGGAGGCAGCTGCCTGGGGGTTGGAGGCCTTTTGTTGCCTTCCAGCTCTTTGATGTGTCTGGTGCTGGAGGTTCCTGCCAGCAGAAGGGATCCTGTGAATGAGCTCTCAGGCCTTTCAGAGGAGTGCAGCTGGAGGAGTCTCTGATTGTGAATTAACCCCACAGGCTTTGCCTGAAGCAGAACCACCTCCTGCTGGCACAGCCCCCACTGGTGGGAAGTGACCAAGGGACAACAGCACCTTTACCCAGAGTTTCTGTGGGCAAAAGGGGACATCTTGCTGTGAGTGAGAGCCACGAGAGGATCCCCTGTCACCCCTGTGTGTGTTAAGGTTTCCCTTTCTGCTCTGGTTAACTCAGGTGCTGTGTCAGCTGCAGGCTGTGCAGTTCAGGCTGTGATGTTTGGTTTCTTCTGCTTTGGTTGCTACAAAACCAGGTGTTTATTGATGCAGCTTTCTCCTTAACATGAGGAAGCCCCTCATGTGCTGCCTGTGTCCCAGTCTGGACCCCTCAGGCAGATTTACTGGCAGTACAATCTTTGCTTGCTCTTGCAGGGACTTCCCTCACCCTTAGGGTTCATGGGCCACTGCTGCTGCAGGGCAGTCCTAAAAAGTTTATTTTTGTTCTCCTTTCTGGAGTAAGAACAATTCCTGTATCTTTAGTTTAGGCCTTTTGATGGTGCAGAACAAATGGCCCAAGCTTATGGCAATCTGTTACATCACCCTGGCTGGGCAGTCTCTGCTGCTGTGCTGGAATCTCTGTAAGAAACTAGATCTGTCAGACCCCAGAGGAGCAGGGTTTAGTGAGGTGGAGGAAGGGCAAAATCTGCCTGGGGCTCATGATACTGATTTACACAAGTACCCTGTACCTGGTGGCAGTTGTTTGCATGGTTTTATATTTAACCTCATCTTCCCAGTCTCACATCTCGTAACTCGTGTTGTTCAGAGCACCAGCTCAGAACCAGCTTTGATTCCTGCAGGGAGGGGTCTCCCATTTCTACCTGTGGTGCTTCTGCTGGTCTGAACCCCCCTGGTTCCAGGAGCAGGTGACTGGATGGCAGATGTGCAGGGGTTTTTATACTTCAGTTCTGTTTTAGCAAAGAAGCATTTTATTTTGGAAAGACTGAAGCTACACTCTGTAACCAGTAAAACTTCAAGCAACTCACTGTTTCCACTAAAGGTGTTTGTTTGGGGTTCTGACTTTGTGTCAGAGGTTGCAGCCAGAGTTGTAAATGCTCAGCAGTGGTGGGAGCTGGAGTGCAGATTTTGGGTGTTTGACCAGAAGAAGACACCTCCATACTCCTTTTGAAGACACTTTTCTCTGGCCTGGCAGGCAGTAGCAGTGATTCAGGAACTTTGTTTTGCTGTATTTATTTTTTCCTTTTCCTAGCAGTTACCAAGCCTGGTTGCTGGACAGTCCAGTGCTGGTGTTTAACAAACCTTGCAGGATGTTTCAGTGAAAAATCACCTCAGACTTCTCGACCAGATAAAGAGGGAGGACTCTTCTGGAAATGCTTGAGGAGTATTTGCAGGGAAGAGGGAATAACAGCGTGGCTGTGCTGGGGAGAACATCTGTGTGCAGTGCTTTATTCAAAGCAGATGGATGGCAGGGGGAAGAGGGGGTGTTTAACCCTTGGTTCCAAGCCAGCCTTCTCCCCCTCAGCTGCTCTAATTTGGCTGCTTTTTCTGATGCTTAAAATGCTGACTCCTCCTTTTTCTTTCCTTCTTGTAAGGCTCATCCTCGATGGGGAGCTCCACTTCCACAGGGTTTTGTTAGCAAACGCTTGTGTGGGGGTTTTTTTTGGAACTCCGTGAGCAGTGTGTCTTATCTCGCTGTTGTATCTGAGCATTTGACACTGATTGAAGATAAAGAGGTGAAAAATTGTGTGTTCCCTCGAGAGAGAACGTGCTGGTAATGCCTCCTTACAGATGAGGAAGGGGAACACAGGGCTGCTCTGCCAAAGCAGAGATCTGAACCCGGGGTTGTACACGTTTTAAGTCTGTGTTGAAACATTCAGGCAGTTTGCTGGGTTTTTGTTAATGCATGATCAAGTGTGAGTACTGAGGGGAAGGCAGTGTTCCTGCTGATTGTATTTGTCTTTTTCAGCTGTCCCAGGTGTTTGTTTCAGTTGCCTGATTCAGGGTACCATTTAATATTTGAAGGGAAAGGGATCATCTCAGCAGCCTGGAGGAACCTTGGCTGCTCCAGCCCCCGTTCAGGGACTGTGGGGCACCCAAAGTGTGAGCACTTGGGAACAAACCCTCAGGGTCAGGGGAAGTGCAGGCAAAGGCCTGGACATGGGGTTTAATTTCAGGAAGTACAGAAATGTGTGTGTGCTGCCATGGGTTTGCCTCCCCTCTGTGCCCTTGGTAAAGCTGGGACAGCTTGGATTTACTGTCCCCTGTTCAGGGGGCACAACAGCTCAGGGACACCGAGCACCCGAGGTGCCAGCACGCTGTTCTTGCCCTGCTAGTCCTGGCAGAGGCAGAGGAGTGTGCTTGCAGGAGGAGAAGGGAGGGTGGCAGGATGGAAGGCAGTGTTACAACTGTGCTTCCATCATTTGGCTGCTATTTTGGGGGATGTGACAGAGGCTCGATGCCTGTTTTCTTTGCTGTCGTGTTACGCCTTTGTGTCAGATGTGTCTGATATGTCTTCAGGCACTGAAAACCTTGGCTTGTGATAAAAACCCCGAATATTTTTTTGTGTCTGAGTGACTCTGTGTCTGTCTGTGATGCCTGTAGGTTGAAAACATCCTGCTGCACGACCGTGGCCACTACGTGCTGTGTGACTTTGGGAGTGCCACCAACAAATTCCAGAACCCCCAGACAGAGGGGGTGAACGCCGTCGAGGAGGAGATCAAAAAGTGAGTGTGCTTTGCCTTTTCAGCTCGGGCCTAGTTTGTGTTTGAAGGGTAATTTTGGCCTGTGCTGGGGTTAATTTTGCTCAGGCCTGTTGCAGCAGATTGGCTGTGCTGCATGGCAGTGTGTGCTGCAGGTAAATGAGTGCCCGGGGGAAGGTGAAACAATAAATTGAGTTTGATGTAATTGCTTTGGAGCTGAAAGACTGAGCGTGTAACGCAGAGGAGCTGCCCCAGCGTGCAGGCAGTGACCTGTTCTGTTCTGTGTGGGGTCACTCTGTCTCTGTCCTTCATCTCCCTTGGTTTCTTGGAGCTGCCAGGCAGGGATGACACAATCCCTGTCCTCCCTGAGCCGCTCCTCACAAACCCAGGCAGTGACCCAGGGCCCCATTTTGGCTCAGCCGAGCCCTGCAGGGTTTAATCCAACTCCTTCTCCTGTCCCATCCACATCCAGCTGTCCTGGCAGCACCTGGTGCTCCTGGGTGCTTCTACAAAGGGAGCTTCACTCGCAGTTCAGCAGGACCTGGATCAGGGATGGAGCACACTCCTGGTCCTTGGGCTTGCTTTAGTTTTAACAACATCACTGCTGCAAACTTGCCCCTCCTGTCAATGCAACATCCTGCCTAGTTAGAGATGTGTGCAGAGCCTCCTTTTGGTTGGGGTGCTGCCTGGATTTCCTAGACCTGTTTGACTGGAGTTGTCAGAGCTCTCCTAATCCAGTGCTGCAGTCCCTGCTGTTTGTACCCTTAAGCCTACAAAACCTTTACTGATGCTTTCCTGTGATCAAGGTAAGCAGCAGGCAAAGTGGCACAGCAGAAGTTACAGACCTGCTGATAGGAAATCTCATCAGAAGAGTCTCTTAAACTCCAGCTGTATTATTTGTGGGGATCTGTTAAAATGAGGCAGATTCCAGCTCTGCTTTGAGGTACACAATGACCCTCCCCTTGCTTTCAGTGGCTCTGAGCAGGAGTCCTGGCGTGGAAATCCAGCTTTTAGGAGCCACATATCCAGTTACAATCTCTGTGGTACAGTTGGCCACAGCCCTGCAGTGAGGACACTGCAGAGGACAGCTGATTACTGACCTTGTTATTACTTTGCATCCTTGAATATTTCTGTTGCAGTTCTTGAAATGACTGTGCATTTTTGTGAGTGAGTTCCTTGTTTTAGAATGGACTGTGGTTACTGTTTTGGCTTCCCAGGGCAGTTGGCAGGGGTGTTTTATTGCTAGAGGTAGAGGCAGTGTTTGAGGTATCTAGCACATGATGCTGCTAAAGGTTTTTTAAATAGATATCTTTAAAATGAATAGGGAAGGAGGGAATTTGGATGTATTTGGAACTGTGACACAGTGAAAATGCCTCTGATAGCCCTTTTGAGCTCCCTGATGGATCTTTCTCTGCAGGTACACCACGTTATCCTACAGAGCACCAGAGATGGTCAACCTGTACAGTGGCAAACTCATCACCACAAAAGCAGACATCTGGGTACGTATGAAAACCACTGGGCACCCTCCAGCCAGGCTGCAGCTGCTCTCATTGCCAGGATGGCAGGGAGACTGGGCTGACCCGCTTTCCTGAAGAGCCTGGGCAGTTCCTGAAGGAAGAATCTCCTCTGCTGACGTGTCTGATGAGTTCCTGCTGAGCAGGGGGGGCTGCTGGGGAGACCTGCGTGCTCCTCACATGTGGTTTGAATTCAGAGATGTGTGAAGCTCCAGGGCTGAACTCTGGAGAGTTAAAGCAGCAAATTCAGACTGTTTTAGTTTCTTGTGCCTGGTTTGGGGTGGAAGCATGTGAACTGGAAGTTACTGGTCAGAACTGAACAGGAACCTGAGAAAATGGACCTGCTCCCCTCGGCAGGGGTGGGTGATCCTGTGTGACATAGGGCTGAGTTGCCAAACTCCTGCCCTGCTGTTTCTGCTCACCAGGGCAATCCTGCCGTGCTCTTCGTGGTGAGAGCAAATTCCAGCTGAGGGGAATCCATTCCTGGCTAACCTGATCCAGGGTGGAAGGCTTAACCTGGTCCAGGGTGGAAGGCTTAACCTGATCCAGGGTGGAAGGCTTAACCTGATCCAGGGTGGAAGGCTTCCCTTTGGTCTGTGCTGTTTGGAGCGGTAGAGGCAGTTCAGCAGAAGTGTTTCAGAGTGTTTAAAATGGTAATTGGGAGCGTGTTTGTGATGTTCCTGGAGCCCTGAGCGAGGAAGTAACACAGCAGAAGCAGCAGAAGGGTTTTGATGTCCAATAGCTGTGCGTGTGCAAGAGGGAAAGTTGGTGGTGTTACACCTGCTGGGAAGAGCCCCCTGTTATCAGTGAGCTCAGCTGGAGGCAGGGCAGCAGCAGCTCCTGTGGGAGCACATTTCAGCAGGATTCTGTAGGATCAGGCCCTGCACAGCTCCGGGTCACCCGCCCGGGTGGGAGTGGAGAGGGAAGGTCACGGCTGTGACAACGGGGAAGGACAGGCAGGGCCTCAAAGGCAGCCAGAGGAGAGCCAGGATTTGCACTCCCTCCTGTGCTGATGGGGGAAGGTGGAGATGCAGGGGCTCTGCTCTTCCTGGCATGGCAGGAATTCTGTTCCTGCGGCCCTTGGAGTTTCCAGACCAGTGTGTGTGTTGGTGCCATAGGGGAGCCTGAGCTTTGTCCTGCTGCAAACCTGCCTTCCCTTCAGACTAACTGGGGTTATTGTAAACCAGAGAGCAGTTTAATTGTGAAACCCTCTGGCAAAAGAGATGAGCTGATGATGAGTTGCTTAGGATTAGGAAATGTTTCCTGCTCTGGCCTCTGAGGTGGTGGGAGTGTTTCATAATTAGCCCTTTGTGCAAAAACGGTGTTTTCTTTTGCAATAGGTGGTGGTTCTTGCTGCCAAAAGCAGCAGGGCAGTGGAGGGAAGGGTGGTACAACCTGGCAGGCTGCAGAATGAGCTGTATTTCCCTGGCATTTATTTAGAACAGCTGAAGGGTTGTTTGAACTTAAGCTTGGAAACAGTTTGGGCTTCTCTTTGTCAGAATAAATGTATTAATGATGATGGTTGCCATTTATTTGTGCTGTTCCTTTGCTTTCTCCTCTCAGCGTGTGGCACAGAGAGGCTTTGCCTGTTCAGTGACACGAAGGGTTGTGCTCTGCAGAGCTGTGTGGGGTGTGATGATACACAGCCCCCCACATCAGTGTCTCACTAACAAGGGAGAGCCGAGCTCTCCATGGATTTGTCTTGCCCTCTCCCTGTGTTTCAGGTCCATGCCAGGGGTGTTGGGTGCAGGCTGACATCACACAGGACCTGGCCACCCAGGCTGGAGCCCCCTCCCTGTCTGTGCCGCGGTGTTTGAGCTGTGCTGTTCCCTGCTTGGCTCAGCCCCTGCTCTGTTCTCTCTCCCCAGGCCCTTGGCTGTCTGCTCTACAAGCTGTGCTACTTCACCCTGCCGTTTGGGGAGAGCCAGGTGGCCATTTGTGATGGCAACTTCACCATTCCAGATAACTCGCGGCACTCGCAGGACATGCACTGCCTCATCCGTGAGTGTCTGACTGAGGGACACGCAGGTCAAACCACCCAGCAGAGCAGTTCTCTTCTCATGTTCCCTGCTCCCACAGGAAAACCAGGAGTTTCCCTCCCCTTTTAAGAGATTTGCTTGCCCAGGGGTTGGTTAAAGTGATCTTTTGGAAGCTTGGGGAGATCGCTCTTGGAGGGCCGGCTGTGACAAAGGGATTTGTGTTCGGCCAGGCTGGGCTGAGCGCTGGGGAAGGGCAGGAACACAGACAACCGTTTGGTTTGAGCCCTCCAGGAACTTGCACAATAAGCCTATTTATGCAGAAACGTATTTCTCCAGTAATAAATCTGTTTGGATAAGGAACTGAAAAGAACCACAGTGACTTAGACTAGTGATAAGAATTCATCTTCTGTGAACTGGGAAGCAGAACTGAAATGATTTATAAATAACCCACTGACTAGAGTGAATGTGTAATTAAGTGTACAATGCACTACTCTTGGCAAAGCTGGGGCAGCTCTCTTGTTTCCAGCACAGCATTTGATTTTTTTCTCTTCCTAGCCACAATCTTGACTCACAGAGAGTTGGATGTGTTTGCAGAGCAGCCTGGTATTTTCTTTGCTTGTGTGGGGTATCTGTGCAGTGGTGTCTGTGGCTACCTCCTCTTCCTGCCCCCTGACACACCGGGGCTCTTCCCCTGTGGGTTCACTGGGAAGTACAGAGTCAAACCCAGTGCTATTCCCTGACCAGGCAGCATTTCCCCTTCTTGCCCTGGAGCTGCAGGTTGGTCATAGCTGTGTTGGAAAATGAGTCCTGGTGCATCCTGACTGTCTGTCCTGCCCCGTTCCCAGCTGAGCCCACCATCAGCTCAGCCCTGACCTGACCAGGTGCTTTGAAGGAGGCAGAGCACCCTGTAGCACCTGGTTGTACCAAATGTAGAACCATGGAATGGTTTGGCTTGGAAGGGACCTTAAACCATGCAACACCACCCCTGCCACAGGCAGGGACACCTCCCACCAGCCCAGGTTGCTCCAAGCCCCATCCAACCTGGCCTTGGACACTTCCAGGGATGGAGCAGCCACAGCTTCTCTGGGCACCCTGTGCTAGGGCCTGCCCACCCCAGCCATGAGAAATTCCTTCATTCCATGCAGTCTGAGGAGCTGCCACAGCTGGCTCATCTGTCTGTCCTGTTCTCTGCCTCTTCCAGGGTATATGCTTGAGCCAGACCCTGATAAGAGACCTGACATTTATCAGGTCTCCTACTTTGCATTCAAGCTGGCAAAGAAGGAGTGCCCAGTCCAGAACGTCCAGGTGAGCAGAGGGGTGCCCTGAGGGAGGCTCTGTGGGAGGAGACTGAGAGGCAGCTGCTGAATGCTGAACATTTTGCTGTATTCTATAGGTTGTTCCCCAGTTCTGTAATTAGGAGAGTAATTTTTTGTGTGTTTGTAATTATCAGTGCTGTTTGATTTGGGTTTTTGGGGGATGAGGGCAGGAATCAGGTTTTTTCATATGTTACTTATTCCTGTTTGTCCCTGATTGACCTCCTCACCCAGTCACCAAGTGTGAGGCCAACCAAGAGATCCTATGCATGTGAACATGGAGAATTAGGCCATGCTTGGGAAACCAATTTGATTTCCAGGCACACTCGTCACAGCGTGTGTGATTTGGGTGCAGTTGGGTTTAAACACAGCAGTTTGGGGTCTGTTGGCTGGCTGGGACTTGTATTTCAGTTGCATCAGTCCTTGCACAGCCATCTGCCCCTTCTTAGTGTGCTGTTAGAGGCTTAACTGAGAAATAGAGCTGGCAGTTATTTTCCTATGGTGTTGTGGACACCTGTGACAGACATTTTGTTTTGTTGTCTCCAGGTAAATAGAAACCTACTTTTTTCTCCCCGTGTTCAGGTGGTTATTTGTGGTCTTTATGAACAAGAGATGGTTTTGGTACTATATGTGCCTGTATTTTTATAGCATTATTAATAGATATTGTTGCTGTTGTCCCCAGGTTTCCTTTTAAAAGTGCCCAGGTTGTGCTATGAATCTTTGTGTTTGTGTTCCATGTGTAGTAAATGCTCAAAAAGCTGAGCCTGTTTTCTTCCCCTTGTAAAGACTCTCCCAATCTACTCTCTCCCCATGACATGAACTTTAAGGAGTTTGTTGTGTGTCCAGCATGAGGAAAAATGGCTTTGGGGATCCCCCAAGCTCCCTCTTATATTGTGATGGTTTTGCAAATTATTTCTGACTCTGTTTTCTGCCCTCAAAATACCAAATGGGGTGTTTTTGGCATCTGCAGAACTCTCCAATCCCTGCTAAACTCCCAGACCCGGTTAAAGCAAGTGAAGCTGCTGCAAAGAAGAGTCAACCCAAGGCCAGGTAACCCCCTCTTTCTGCTCCCCTCTCCTTCACTGCCTATTGTGTCTCTGCTGTTGATCAGCAGAGGTGCATTTTGCTGCTTCCTCGGGGACAAACACTGCAGTCCTGAGAGCAGGAAGGGCCCTGATCCGAGGGGCAGCAGATTTGGGCAGGTTTGTGTGCAGGGGTGGGGTTTGGGGGGTGCTCAGGGTGACTCAGCAGCTCTCTGTGCCCCGGGCACTGCTCGACAGCAGCACTTGGAGCTCGTGCACCTGGATGGATCCAGGGTGTCCTCCTTCCAGAGGCATGGAAATACCTGAGAGCAGGGCCAGGACAGAGACTGCAGTGGGCCTGGAACGGCTCCAGAGAACACAGCTCTGCTGGGAGGCTCCTCAGGGACTGTTGAGTCTGACCCTCGACAGGCCATAACCTGAACCAGGAGTCACTGCACGGAATTACTGGGATTTCTGCAAGAGTCCTGCAGTTTCTTTGGGGGAAAACAAAAAAACCCAGATTGCTTCCATCTGAAGAGCCCAGTTAGTGGGGAAACCACTGTACTCTGTGGGTTTTATCCTCTCCTGCTGCTCCTTGCTCTGTTTATGGTTCTGTGATTGAGACTTGCCAGTTGTGTGGACAAAGCTCGGGTCTTCTTTCGGTGCAGGGTGAGCAGCGCTCAGGGGGCACTCCACAGCCAGCTGCTCTCCTCAGATCTGAAATGGGGTGTCTCCCCTGTCCATCAGCCCCAGCACTGTCTGTGCTCATAACTGAGTGCAGTTACTCTCAGGTTGGTTGGGTATCAGGAACAATTTCATGTCTAACAAGCCAGTGTATCCACAGAAGGGCAGGGGGGTAGGGCTGCTTCTCTCCCTTGCTCTGCATTTTTGGAGCTCAGTAAACTCAGAGGAGTCCAATGACCCGATTCTGGGGTAAATGTACCAAAGTTAAGGTGCATCTCAAAATGGCAGTTTAGACAACCCTGCCCAAAGGTACCAGCTGCTCCTGAGCTAATTTGTGTCCTTCATCTGCTCGTTCAGAACTCTGAGTGGAGTCAAACAAAATGTTGTATCAAATATTTGAATGAACTGAGTGGTTTTGACAAGTCCCAGCTGTCCAACAGGACGAGATGCCACAATTGGCAGAGGAATCGGAGCGACAGTGTTGGATTAGTTGTTGTGAATGCATCCAGGAGGTCTCACTGTGCCTGGTGTGCCCAGATGCCCACGAGTGTTTCACCTCTCCTAGCTGGGGTGTGGATGAGCGTTTACCCTGCTGTGTGCTCCTTGCACTGCCTGTGCTCTCAGTGCTCTCCTTCTCTCCCTCTCCAGGCTCACAGATCCCATCCCCACCACAGAAACGTCCATCGCCCCCCGGCAGAGACCGAAGGCAGGGCAGACCCAGCCCAACCCCGGGATCCTGCCCATCCAGCCCGCCCTGACGCCCAGGAAGAGACCCACGGCCCAGGCAGCCGTGCAGCCCCAAGGTGAGCGCTGCCGTGTCCCTGCTGCGGGCTCTGTGCCCCCCAGGGCTCTGCTGCACGTTGATCTAACGCCCTTTTGGCTCTTCTCTCCCAGTTGCAGGCCCGGCTGCCCTGGGCAGTGCCCAGCCTTCGCTCCCTGCCAGCACCCCCCAGCCCAAAGCAGCCCCCCAGCAGCCCCCGGCCCAGCCCCAGGCCAAGGCAGCGCCCGCCCCGGCACCGGCCCCGCAGGCACAGCCCCAGGTCCCCTCCACACAGCCCCAGGCCACCCCTCAGCATCAGCAGCAGCTTTTCCTGAAGCAGCAGCTCCTGCAGCAGCAGCAGCAGCAGCAGCAACAAGCTGCCTACTACCAGCAGCAGCAGCAGCAGATGATGCAGGCGCAGCAGGTGGGTGAGCACGGCCGGCTCGTTGTGTGCTTACGGTGTCTGCAGGGCTGAGTCTCTGTGTTTATGTTATGTATGGATATTATGTGTATATTTTGGGGGAAAATAGGGACGGGTTTTAGGCATTTTCCAGTGCATCCCCAGTTCTCTAGTAAGATTTGCTCTCTACAGCTGCCTGGAAGGAGGCTGCAGGGAGGTGGGTGTTGGTCTCTGCTTCTGCCAGGTCTCGGGTGAAAGGACGAGAGGAAAACGGCCTCAAGTTGTGCCAGGGGAGGTTCAGATCAGATATTGGAAGAAAGGTTTTTCACTGAAGGAGTGGTCAGGCCATGGAATGCGTTCACAGTCGGACTCAGTGATCCTGAAGGTCCCTTCCAGACTTGATGATCCTGTGCTACATTTTTAGCTGTCAGCGTGGAAGGCCTTGGGATAGGTTTGTCATGTACAAACATCAAATCAGCAGTGCTGGTTGAGGTGTTACAGCTCCAAGTGTTCCAGGGTCTTGAAACACTTCAGTGCTCAGCTGGTGAGCAGAGGATACAATTTATCTCCTTTTTGTGCTTCAAGAAGCCTGGGGTGCCTTTTCAAGGGTAGGATCTGGGTCTGGCTTTTGGTAGACTGTGGTGATAAGGAGGTCTGTGAACACATGATGTGTTACACAGAGATGACATTCACATGCTCATCTGAGGTGTTTATAGCAGCACAGGTCTCTGCTAAAGGATGTTTAACAGTGGAAGCAATGGAACTGTAAATATTCCTGTCTGGGGAAAGGATGTGGACCTGTTAGAGCAGGTACAGAGGAGGCCATGGAGGTAACCTGGGGGCTGGAGCCTCTCTGCTCTGGAGCCAGGCTGGAAGAGCTGGAGCTGTTACCTGGAGAAGAGAAGGCTCTGGAAAGACCTGAGAGTCCCTTCCAGAGCCTAAAGGCAGCTTATAAAAAGGAGGGAGAGGGACTTTTTATATGGGCAGAGAGTGACAGGGGAAACATTTTTAAACTGACAGAGGCTGGATGTTAGGAAGGAACTCTTGGCTGTGAGGGTGGGGAGGCCCTGGCAGAGGTTGCCCAGAGCAGCTGTGGCTGCCCCATCCCTGGAAGTGTCCAAGGCCAGGTTGGAGGAACCTGGGATAGTGGAAGGGGATGGAATGGGATGGGCTTTACATTCACTTCCAACCCAAACCATTCCATGATTCCATGAAAGGTTCAAGGATCTGGTTTTAGACCAGGAGGTTGTGTCCCCCCACCCCTCTGCAGGTGGAGTCCAGGCCACTGGCAGGGTCTGTGCTGGCCCCAGCCCTGGTGGGGGTTCCCAGTCCCCAGCACACAGCAGGCATTTCAATTGTCGGTTGTTTCCCAGTTCCCAGTGATGCAGCAAGGAGCACCTGCACAGCAGCAGCTCATGCAGAACTACTACCAGCAGCAGCAGCAGCAGCAGCAGCTGATGGCCCAGCAGGCAGCCATGCAGCAGAAGACAGTGGCAGCAGCTCAGCAGAAACAACAAACCCCAGCACCCACCCAGCCCCAGGCCCAGCCCAGCACGGCCCAGCCGGCACAGCCACAGGAGCAGGTGGGAAGGAGTGGGGCAGTGGGATTGGGACACTGGGAGCAGGTGGGGACAGCCCTGGGGGAAGGAGTGGGGCAGTGGGGTTTGGGGCACTGGCAGGTGCTCCTCTGCCAGGTCCTGTGTGTTGGGTATGTACCACATGCAGCATTTTCGGAGCCACAGAGCCCAGGCAATGGGTGCCAGGGGAGAATTATGTTGGATATTGGGACAATTTCTTCACCCAAAGGGCTGCCCAGCCCTGGCACAGCTGCCCAGGGCAGTGGTGGAGTCCCCATCCCTGAAGGGGTTTAACAGACACACGGATGTGGCACTTGGGGACATGGGTTAGTGGCAACCTTGGCAGTGCTGGAGAGTGGCTGGATTTGATGACCTTAGAGGGCTTTTCCAACCCAGGCCATTCCATGACTCAGGAGCCTGCTGGCCCTAGTGTGTTCACACTGAGTCCCACGTGTCAGCACTGACCTTGCTGCCTCGGGGATGTGCAGCTGTTTGGATTCCTCTTTCCAGTGGGATGCTGGACTCCAGAGCTGTGCTCTGGGTCCACAGAAAGAAGATGAGTAATGGATGAGTAAAAGCAGATGAGAAGATCTAAGTAGCTGCTTAATGCAGCTTCTCTCCATCCCTCCCCTGTCATGTTACCACAGAAGGCATGTGAGGAACTCTCTTAGAAATTAGTTGTACTTAACACATCAGGATGGGCACCAGGCACCAGAGCTACTTTATGTAACTCCTTGTTCAGAAAAGTTCTGTCTGATGTTCAGAGGAAGGTCCAAAACAGCTTCGTGGCTGTTTCCAGCACTGGGATAACTTTTTAATGAATGCTATGGGAAGGAGACCTTTCAAAGGAGACTTTTGAAAGCACTGTATCTAAAAATAAATCAATCAATCATGCACTTTACTAATCATCTGAAAGTGCATCCAAAATAAATGCTTTTTACTTGATGGAAAACATGGCCTTGTGCAGGAGGAACCAGCAGCTGCCCACAGGGAGGGGCAGGAGCCTGGAGCCAGAGTGCTCTGCAGTGCTCGTGGGGGCTGTGCCTTTTGTTTCCATTCCTGTGCACTCTTATCCGCTCCTCCCTGCTTTTGGGGGCTCACAGGAGTGTCCCTCGCTCTAGGAAGAAGGCATGGCCAGCAGGCAAGAGGGAGCAGCCCTGTTATTGTGCTGTCCCAGGCTGCAGGGTACAACAAGCAGTGTCTGGTAACAACCTGCTTCAGGTACTTATTCCTGGAGGTGCTCAGGGCCAGGTTGGACAGGGCTTGGAGCAGCCTGGTCTGGTGAGTGGCACCAGGGGATTGGAACAAGATGATCTTTAAGGGCTTTCCCAAGCCAAACCATTCCATGATTGTGTTGTTTCAAAGCTCCCACACTGTTTGAGCCCAAGCTGAGGGTCACCCTGTGCTTGCTGCTTCGTGAGTTGCCAGTTAATTCATCTCTCCAGTGCAGCTCCTTTGAAGTGACACCAGGAATTCATTTGACTAATAAGCTCCATAAGGCCTGAGCTGGGCAGTGCTAGGGGACTGTTTGCTTTGCTCCCTGGGGTGCCTCTGCCATATCCCCCCCTTTGCTGTTGCATTTTCAGCCCTAAGCTGGTGCTTTGGGTGAGGGGCAGTCTTGGAGCTGTTGTGTTCCTGGTCTTGTTCCTGTTCTGGTGAATGACCTGGGGCAGGTCAGTTTATTGAAATTGGTGGGAGATTTCAGTGTGTGCAGACAGGTTTTGAGTGAGGCCCATTATTTCCCTGTTCCTTTTAGAGCAGAAGTGCCTGAAATGGAGCATTGAATCAGGAGCTTTGCTGTGATTTGCTAGCACAAGAACACCCTTAATTTTATTAAATCAGCTGGCTTTAAAATGAGCCTTATTCCCCTGGTAGGCTGATCAGAATGGACACATCTGGACACTTCCACTCCTGCAGTCAGGAGGGAAAAACAGTGGTTGGCTCATTTAAAAAATGATAGTGAGGCCTGGTCTCTGCAGAGCAGTCTCTGAGCAGAAGGTACCAAGCCAGGACCTGTCAAAAGCTCTTCACATTGGGTGATTTCAGCTTAACAAGCTCTGCCTTCATTTCTGTGGTGATTTCAGTGATGCCTTTTTATCTCTCAGCACCAAATGTCCTGTTCTGCAGTGACCTACATAGTGGGATGAGGTGGGGGATCAGGAGAGGCAGGTCAGGGAATGGGTCTGCCGGAAAAGCAGGACAGCTCACCATTGTTTGCCTGGTTCAGCACCACCCTGGGGGTGTAACTCTTTCCTGTTGCCCTCCTAGGTCTTCCCAAGTGCTTCATCTTGGTTGGAAATGGCCTGGGAACAGGGAGCCAGGCAGGGGAGGTGACATGCACAGCTTGCTGCTCCTTGCATTCCAGTTTTCCTGCTTTAAATCTAGCCCAGATACCTGACTGACAGACAGACTGAAAAACCACACAGTCAGAAGTGATGCTGTTGTTTATCTCTACAAGACCATATTTAAAGCATTTATGGGTTTGTGAGTGTCACACAAGGCTGAGGCAATGGAAAAATCAGATCAGTGTGAGGAAACCCCTTTCAGTTTCCAAGGGGTGTGTAGCTGGGCTGTCTTGGCTCTCACCTAAACCAGACATGCCTGGTTTTCTCCTCCAAATTTTAATGACAAATGGTGCTCCTGTGGTCTTTTGTTTTCTTTTTTTTTTCCCTTCCCCTTAAGAGAATGTTTTTTGCATAAGATTTCTGCACAAGCCTTTCCCCCCTTAGGGATTTGGTCCCAATCACACCCTACCTGCTGAAGGCAGTGCTGCCCTTCACCTTATCCCCATTCCCTGTGTCCCCATGACAAGACTCCTGTGCAGCTGTGGGCTGATTTCGTGTATTTCCTCTGCTCTGGATCTCTGTCCCCTGACCTGTGAGCGAGTTTGAGCCCAGCCAGCCTTTAACAGGTGCTAATGGAGGCTTTGCCTCCAGAGCTGCAGCACAGCAAGGGGAGGAAGTCTCTGCCCGTGGAACTGTAATCCTGAAGCCCTGCAAAGCAGCAAATCCCCCCGCCACGATTCCTCCGTGTGTCTGTTTTCCCCTCCAGCAGCAGCAAGGACGTTGTGCTTTGCTCTCTCTCCCAGGCTCAGGCCCAGATGAGGCAGCAGCAGCAGCAGCAGCAGCAGGCTCAGAGCACCCCCCCTGCAGCAGCCCAGGGGCAGAAGTTGGGCTCCCTGACGCCGCCGTCGTCGCCCAAGGCGCAGCGCGCGGGGCATCGCCGCATCCTCAGCGACGTCACCCACAGCGCCGTCTTCGGCGTCCCGGCCAGCAAGTCCACCCAGCTCCTGCAGGCAGCGGCTGCCGAGGCCAGTCTCAACAAGTCCAAGTAGGTGGGGGGATGTGTTGTCAGAGGGCAGGGAGGGGGGCTGGGGGGAGGCTCTTGGCGCCTCTGAGATGGAGGTGGGCACAGAACTCTGAGGGCTAAACGAGCCTCTGCCTTCCCGAGAAAACACAGTTCAGGGCTCGGCAGAAAGTTGCTGAAAAACTTGCCCAGAAGTCCTTCTGGGTGGTTGCACACCCTGCAAAAGCCCAGGGCCTTGCTGTGGATCACAGTGTCATTTCAGCTGTTCACCAGTAGCCCTGGTGCGCTCCTCACGCTTCCTGCTGGGCAGCAGTGCCTCCTGAGGGTTGGACTTGATGATCCTGGAGGTCTTTTCCAGCCTGAATGGTTCTGTAATTCCCCAGGAGTACTTGCCAGCTCACTTTTGTAGTGTCTGCAGACAAGAAACCTTCACCTGGGCATGGCAGGCCATTGTTGCTAAGGGGATGCTTGTTTTAACCCCTGAGACCAGGATGCTCATCCAGCTGAGGAGCAGCTCAGGCTGAACTGCTCCTGGGTTTCTGGGCATGCAAGTGCAGCAACTCGTGCTGAGTGTTTCAGTTAGGAAGTAATTACAGTGCAGTATCTTGGAGCAGCTGGTAGTGCTGGCCAGAGGATTTCAGATGGGTTATTAATGACTTTGTTTGGTTGGGATGATCACGTCCAGATCTGCTTCCACCACGCCCTCGGGCTCCCCGCGGACCTCTCAGCAGAACGTCTACAACCCGCCCGACGTGTCCACGTGGAACCCCTTCGATGATGATAACTTCTCCAAGCTCACAGCCGAGGAGCTGCTGAACAAGGACTTTGCAAAGCTGGGTGATGGTAGGTCTGTGGGGATGGTTTAACACCTGCCTGCTCTGGGAAGGGAACATGGCATGGAGTGGTGATGCCTTTGGTCCGGTGTTCCTTTGGTATTACTGTGATCCTCTGAGCTAAATCCTTCCCACATCCCTTCTGTTTGCTCAGCAGTTCGGTGGTACCTCAAAGGCAGAGATACCAACTGCTTTTACAGTGGCCCTGCTCAGTTGTCTGTAGAAGCTGCAGTTTAAACTCTGCTTCATCTGCAAGCTGGGATTTGCAGGAAGGGGTTTGAGTCACACACTGAAATAGTGTCCTAACCAACACAGAATGCTTTCAGAATGGAAGCTTTTCCCCTAACTCTGTGTCTGGCATTTCAGGGAAAGCTCCAGAAAAGGTGGGCAGTTCCACAGAGAACTTGATTCCAGGTTTCCAGCCGGCTTCATCTGCAGCCCAGGCAGACGCGTTCGGTGGCTCTTCCTTCACCGCTGGGTCAGGTGAGTTTGTGAATGTGAACTACAGGGCAGTGCCCTGGGCAGCACTGCAGAAAAGTGGCAGCTCTTGGTCATAATCCCTTTGAAAGGGAAGTTAAACTGATGCAAACAGAGCTGGGCCTTGGCACCAACAGCTGTAGGGAAGAGGTTGGCACTTCAGTAGAAAGGGGAGGTAGGAAGGGAGCGTGTCCTCGTCACAGCTGGGTGGCAGAGACAGGAGACACTGCCTGTAGGCAGAGGTGAGGAAGAAACTAAATGAGCCCTTTAATTCACAAGAAAGCTCCTTAATGTGTTGAAGTTCCATGGAGCTCCTCATTAGAGGTAAAACATGTTTTGTGCACTAAGGGAATTGGCCTGGGAGATGTTGGTCAGACACACTGGAGCTGTCAGGCTGTTGGAAGGAGGAGAGGAGCAGGGATAGGAGTGTCTCTGCTGCAGAAGGAGGGTGGCAGGGATGAGTGAGCAGGGAAGGCCCTCAGAGGACAGCACAGTCTCCTAATTGACATGTTAAATGATGAAGGCAGTGAGTTCTGCACTGGCTGTGCTGTGTGGGTCCAGCAGCCCTGAGTCCTTGGCTGCTCTGAGGAGTTGCTCTGCAGAGGCCTCTGCATGTGGGATCTTCTCTGGTGTCTCCTTTGGTCCTTGGATCTCAAGGTTTTGCCACGAGCAGCCCAAAACCTCAGTGAGTGCTGCTGCTTGTTTGCAGTTCTTCAGCATCAGCTCTCCCTGAGTGCAGCACAGACCTGCTCAGTGTTGGAAAGCTGCTTCAGGAACTCCAAATGCCACTGATCCTCTCCCTGTTACTGGTGACAAGTGCAGCTGTTTGATGCCTCCCCATGAAAGCAAAACAGCCCTTGGTGAGAGGAGTCTGGGGAGAGACTGAGGAATCCTTTGTGGGGCAAGAAATGACAAATCCATTTGTGCTTATTTCTGTTTATAAGAGGAGCTTTAGAGGAACTTATAACTGAGCTTGGTGCTGTTGGCTCTTCCCTGAGAATTCAGGAGTTAAGGCCGTGGAACAGGAGTGCTCTGGGGAGTTGCTTTCTGCGTTTGTCCGGCTGTGAGCAATTTCTGGTGTTCCATCAGCCTTTGTGGAGGGGTGTTGAGCAGCAGCAGCCCCAGATTCAGCTGTGATGTGCCTTCTGAAAGCCTGAGGAGCATCTGCATGTTCTGGGCACTGTTGTGTGTTCAGTTCTTTAAAATGTGCCCCTCAACTCTGCTGTCCTGGGGTTTGCACAGGAAGGTGCAACCTTGGTGCAGGGCTGGACCCTTCCAGCCCTTCTCTTTCTTTCCTCAAAGACAGGAGTCTCTCCAGGCCTGTCTGGTACAAGATGCTGCATCTTTTATTCCAGACACAGAGGCCTGACATGGGCTGCGTATCCTCTGCTGAGGCATTTCACCTTTTGTGCTGCTCTGAAGGGACATAACAGCACTTCCCTGCCAGGGAGTGTTTTGAGAGCTGTGTGTTGGAGAGCTACATGGTAATAGCTGTTTGGTGGTGGTGTTTGGTTTTTCATTCTTTTCACTGGCAACATAAACTGGATTGGAGTGTGTGTGTGTGTGCTGTTCTGTCAGGCTGTTGTTGGGCTCTGACACTGAGCTGTGCCCGTGCTGAGACTGCTCGATGCTTTCTGCTTTCCTCTTCTCTGGTTCACTCTGCCTTTTCTCTTCCTTTTCCCTCCCAGCTGAAAAAACGAAAGACATTCTGAGTTTGGACTCCAGCCCTCCTCTTCTGACTGTGCCTGATCCTTTCATTCCTCTCCCGTTATCCGACACGCCAGGTAACAGAGCAGAGTTTGTGCAGGGTGGGTTTTGTTTTGTCCTCTTAACGTTCTGGTTCTGTTTCTAGGCTGAAACCCCTGAAATCCTGGGCTCAGCCAGTGGTGCTGGGCACTGAGAGGCTCAGCTGAGCTCGGGGCAGTGCTGGTGTGTGTGCTTGGTTTTCCTGGCAGACCCTGGGGTTGTGTCCTTGTTCCTAATGCCAGCAGTGTTGGTGTCTTTAAAGGTTCAGTATTCAAAGGCTGGAGCACCTCTCCTAGGAGGAAAAACTGAGAGCTGGGGAAGGGAAGAGAAGAGAAGGCTCTGGGGAGACCTGAGAGCCCCTTCCAGGGCCTGAAGGGGCTCCAGAAGAGCTGGAGAGGGACTTGGGACAAGGGATGGAGGGACAGGATGAGGAGGAATGGCTTCCCACTGCCAGAGGGCAGGGAGAGTTGGGATATTGGGAAGGAATTGTTCCCTGTGAGGGTGGGCAGGCCCTGACACAGATTGCCCAGAGCAGCTGTGGCTGCCCCATCCCTGGAAGTGTCCAAGGCCAGGTTGGAGCAGCCTGGGCTAGTGGAAGGTGTCCCTGCCCATGGCAGGGGGTGGGACTGGATGAGCTTTACATTCACTTCCAACCCAAACCATTCCATGATTCAATGAAAAATAACCACCAGGTAATTAATCACCTCTTCTGACCTAAGCTCTTTTCAAATTGGTCTCCAGCTTTGAAACTGTAGGTTTTATTATTGTTAATCCTTCTTCCCTGGAAGAGTCAGTGTTTCTTTGGCTTCCACGGTCTGCTGCAAATTCGTGCATCATGTGAAGCACAAGTTACATGTGACCTTTTCTGATTTGGCAAAGTTTTCTGGTGCAGTTGGTGCTATTTCCATTTCCTTTGCAGTGCTGCTTCTGTCTTTCCTCTGTGCACATTTCTGCCTGCAGCAGCCAACACTTTTTAGCACAAGATTATGTAAGTGCTTAGGAGCTTATTTGCAAATCGGTGGGATTTGGAAAATGGGAAATGTTTTTGTCTTGGAGTCTCTCTAAGCCCTCCAGTGACTGTGTGTGACAGTCCCTTGTCTCTGAGCCCCAGACAAGTGCTGGTGGCAGCTCCCACCCCTGTCCTTAGCCCAGGCTGTGGATCCCTGGGGCTGTGACAGTAGAGGACCCAAACTTGGCAATGTGCTTGTGAAGGTGTCATCTCTCCATGGAGAGCTGAGCAACTCAGGAGAAAAATAAACCCCTCTTTTTCCAGAAGTCTGTGGAACTTGCTTCCTTCTGGTGGGTGCTCAAAGAGCACGAGAAATGTGGTTTGGTCCAAAGGGGATTTTATTTTACATAAATGCTGCAGTCTGAGGGTAGAAAGAACTTGGATGCTGTGTGAGCAGGTGCCAGGAGTGACCTGCCCAGCTGTGACTTGAAAAGAGCCTACAGAAGGCACCTGAGTGCAGGTTTTCCTTCCCCCCTCATGTGCTATTGGAAGTGTTGTTCTTCCTGGTTGAAGTCTGTCACCCAGACCATGTCATTCCCTGCCAGCATCATTCCCAGCTCACCCAGTTGCACACCAGCACGTTTTCCTTGTTGCCTCTCATTTTTTAACATAAAACTCGAGGCCAGGAGCTCATAAGTGTTTCTCAAGGGCCAGATCTGTGGACTTCCCCTTCACTTTCAAAACCAAGAGGGTTTTGAACTTGTAAATTCAACAGAAAAGATAAAAACCCTGGATTTGGACTCAGGCTTTGAGTCTGTGTCTGTCATGTAGGACAGAGGTGTGTTTGTTCTTCAGTGTTACCTGTGCAGAACCATCCCAGAGCACAGAGAGGGATGTGCTGACTGGCAGGTGAAAGGTGTTTTTAGGGGTGCTCTGTGAGTCAGCAGAGCTGGGAGTGACTCCAGCCTCCCAGTACATCACCTCCAGTTGCTCCTCACCAAGCTGCCTCAGTTCTTTGCAGGAGCAGCTGAATTTCTTGGAACGCTTACTGAATATTTCCTTTCATTTGGAGTATTTTTATTCCTGAGAAAACCTTGATAAAAGTGAATGTCCTTGCTCTGCAAACATTGTACCTTAGTAAAATAGGCTGGGAGGGTGCACAGCCCTTGCAGGAGTTCAAGTGTGAGCCTTCCCCCTGTGCTGACGAGGGCAGTGTTGTTCAGGAGGGATTTCAGCACACAGGTGAGGTTTTATTGGGTTTTGGTATTGGTTTTATTTCCCTGTTGGTCCTACAGAGCCAGTTCTGTCAGTCCTCTGCCCTCTGGACCTGCAGCAGCTGAAGGGCTGGTTAAAGCTCAGCTGCTGCTTCTGCTTCAGCCACAGCCTTGCTCCCTTTGGCACCTGGAGGTGCAGGTGGCATCAGCTGAGTGTTGGCCAGAGACCTCCTGGGCCTCTCCCACTTTCCCCTGCATGCTCAGAAGGACAGATGCCATCAAGTGGCAGTGGGATGGTTTCCAGTGTGTTCCTCCTCCTCCAGCGTGTAATGGCTGCAATCCTTAATGGAATTGTAACCAGTGAGAGGAGCTGGCAAGGGGGGTGTGAAAATATGGCAAAACATCTGTTAAAACAAGGAGGAATTAAATATTCAGGCTGAAAACATTTTTCCTTGTGTATGTGCGGGAAAATGAGCCAAGTTGTTCTTAATGAGCCTATTGCAGGAGTCAGCACTGACTAATCCTGATGGAGTGCTGATCAGTGGTGACTCCCTGCGTGGGGCTCCTGAGTGTCTGTGCCTGTGGACTGAGCCCCTGGGAGCACAGGGGGCTGCTCTTTGCACAGGATGTTCTGGAGGCCTGAAAATAAACTGAGTTCTGCACCTGAAATTATTAAACTGAGTTCTACACCTGAAATCATTGAACTGAGTTCTGCACCTGAAATCATTGAACTGAGTTCTGCACCTGAAATCATTGAACTGAGTTCAGGACAAGCCTCTTGAGTGGTCCCAAGTCTGGGGTTTCTGAACTGCAGCTGGAGTGTTAAATGCTGGCCTGGCGTGGGTACCCACGCTCAGCCATCCATTAGATGAGGTCTCACACACATCCTTTGACTTCAGAAGCATCTGCTCACATCGAGCTTTTGAGTCAGTGCTGGCTGGGCCCAGGGAAATGCCCTCTGAGATACTGCCAAAAATGTTCCTTTCTGTTGTTTGGGGGGTGGTTGGTTTGGGGTAGGAGGGGGGGTCTCCTTCTTGTGTTATTTCCAGATAAACTCTGTGTCAGTTCAGTGCCACCTTGGCACGTTGAGTCAATCTTTTTTACCCCTTTTTGAACAGAGCATCGATCATTCTTTGTGAATTTCCACAACCATTTCCTCCCTGCAGTAATTCAGCATCAGCTGCAGTTGACAGACAAACAGTCTGTGGTGGAGGGACTTGTTTGAGGACCAGCAGCACCAACCAGCCTCTGCCACGCTGTCTTGCCCTTAAAAAATACAAGATGAGAGAAATTCCACGTCCAGCACAGCTCAGTAAACGTGCAGGGATAGCTGGGGGGGTGCCCAGGCCAGGGAAGGACGTCTGAGCCAGCTGGGCACACACTGAATTCCTGGTTTTCATGGAAAGGCAAACACTGTTGCTTAGTGCCACGTTGGGGTTCTCCAGAGCCTTTAAACAGCACAGTCAGGCTGTTCACAGCAAATGCAACAGAACAACTGCATATCCAGTGAGAATTTATTTACTTGTCCCAAGATGGCACGTTGGGATGAAGTAATTACAGACATGCACAGCCACATATTGGTGTGTGCCAATGATCTGAGTTTGCATCTTGAGTGGGGAAGATGCAAAAGGGCAGCTGCTCATCTGGGACCTCGATGGATTAATTGCTGCATTAACTGAGAGGACAACATGGTGTGGTGATGGTTTGGGGCAAGGAAGCCAACAGACCTTGGGAATCACAACTAAATGGGCGTAAACAGCACCTAGTGTTGTTCTGCCTGGGCTTTGAGCTTGATCTGAGGGGTATAATTTATGATTTTACAAATATTTGAGATCCTGAATGTGAAACTAAAATCCCTTGACTTTGATTTCTTAAGGAGCCCCTGTTAAATGTTGCCCAGTTCCCCTCCATGGTGTTCACAAAGTCCTGTGTATTTGGAGCATCCCAACTGCCTTTATTCAGCTTCTCTTCCTCTTTGTGCTCCATAAAAAACAATCCCATTTCACAGCAAGCCCATTAGGAAAATGAAACTCCAGTGCCTTCGTTTGGTCAGCCCAAGCCCTCTGTTGCTGAATAACACTCAGGGCCTCCTCTAATCCTTAGCACTGGATCAGTCAATGGGCAGAAATTGTCCCCAGTCCCTGCCCAGGGGGTGATTCCCTCCCGCTTCCAGCACAGTGACCCTGCAGGAGTTTTACCACCTTGTCTTTCTTTCCCAGTTGCCACCCGAAGAAAAGGACTCTGCTGTGTCCTCTCTTGAGTTGTCTTTCCCTTTGCTCTCCCTCCAGTCCTCCAGTGAGTAACAGCCTTGCTGTGTGTGGTGCTGCTGCCCCTCCTTGGTTTGGAGATGGTGCATCTTGTTCCGTGTGCTCTCAGCTCGGGGCAGATTTTTATCTCCACTCCCTTTTTAACTCACAAGTTTCTCAGGAGTCTTTATTCTCTCTAATAGCCTGCTCTGACTAAAAGCCCATTTGCCTCCCTCTTCTCTTGATTTATTTTTTTCCTAACTCTAGTCCTTCTTAAGTTGCTTTTTGGGTGTTCTTTGTTGCTTCAGGGGCGTGTGGCCCCAAATAACTGCAGCGTGTCAATGGAGAGTCCAGAGTGGTGGCCTTGCAGATGCAGAGTGACTAATTGTGAACCTCAGCCAGATCTGTGCATGGGGCAGAACAGGGATCTGAAGCCAAAGGGCAGCATTTTCTCAGTGGACAGTCCAGGGCTGTGCTGCTCAACCACTGCATGGCCTGTGAACTTGTTTGCTTGGGCCAGGATACGAATCCAGAGTTAGTTCAGTGGCTTCATTTTCTCCTTATGCTGGTACACATCAAAAGGCTCTTGCTTTCATTCCTGGAGGAGGTGATGCAGTTCTCCAGTCTCTGAAGCCACCAGCACGAGGCATTTGAGGGTCCTCCAAGCCCCCTTAGCTTGTAGGCTCTTGCTTAGCTCTTTCTGCAGAGTTTTCCTTGCTCTGACAGGAACCAATCAGGAATTTCTCACTGTGAGGAACATGAAACTTGGGAAGAATGTGAAATATTCATCCATAGGCTGGGCTTTACCTCTGGAGAGGCTTGATGGGGCACTTTTTAATCTCCCTGTGTGCTTTTGAGCTTTAGACACCTCCTCAAGGCTTGCTAATGCCCTGCTTACTCAGCCATGGCCTCACTGGTGCTGCACAGCCCTGGCAAGGCAGAAAATCCAACAGAAAGGAAACACCCTGGCCAGTTTATCCTGAACCTGGGACAGAATTGGTTCCCTGTGACCTGGGAGGCATCTGGCAGGTTTTTGGGAGGCTGATGATGATGTCTCCAAGGGGCAGCTCCACCTGGGAGCACAGCTGTAGATTAAAGCCCACCTTTCCCAGCTGGAGTTTGATGAAAGCCCATCCTGAGAGCTCTCCAGGAGCTGTATGAGGTCAAACACCTTCCTGGGGGGTTACAGTATCTTAACCTTGTTTATCCTCGGGCTTCTTTGTGTGTCTGCATGTGAATGGTCTGGATTTGTCTTGGATTTGGGGCAGAATCACCTGTGATGCTCTAAACCCCTGAGTTACCTTCATGGTGATTGATACAGATGGTGTGGTCCTGTCACACTCCCCTCTGAGCTTCATACCTGCACTAAACTGCTTGCAAGGAGCCCTGAAGCATCGAGGGAGTCGCTCTTATTCCTTGTTCCACTGCTGTTTGCTGCATCTTTGCCATCCTGACCTCTCCTAAAACCAGCCTGGGGCTGTGCCCACACACCTGGAGGGTCACCAGAAACTGGTGCTGCAGTGGCAGAACATCTCTCTTGGTTCCCCCCAGTAGGAGTGCTGGTTTCTCCCCAGTAGGAGTGCTGTTTTCTCCCAGTAGGAGTGCTGTTTTTTCCCAGTAGGAGTGCTGGTTTTTCCCAATAGGAGTGCTGGTTTTTCCCAGTAGGAGTGCTGGTTTCTTCCAATAGGAGTGCTGTTTTTTCCCAGTAGGAGTGCTGGTTTCCCCCAGCGTTGTTCCCCCAGCAGGTGTGTGAGGGGTGCCAGGTGGGAGGGGAAGTTGTCTCCATCTGTCTGCAAAGGGCAGGAATGTGCCACGTGCTGGGGCTTTGCCTGTGGAGTCTGTTCTGCAGCTGATGATCCCTGTGTGTACGTGTGAGTGGGCACTGTTGTCTTTGCACAGGTCCCAGGAACAAGAGTCATTATCCCAGTGTTGTCTCTTCTCACTCACTCTGATCCCTGCTGGCTCCTCCACAGGACTCCACTTGCAGGTGAAGCAGTGGAAGCTGAAGGGAATTCCCTTGGTAACAGGGCCCAAACTGCAGTTAACTGTGACAAGGGATTGGTTTTCTTTCCAGGTCTGGCTGTGGTTATACTCCAGCTGCTCTGTTTGTGGCCAGGTGATGAGCAGGATCCCTCCCTGAGCTGCTGCTCCCGTGCTGGGGAAGCAGAGGCTGGAGCTGGGTCTGTTTGGCCCCGCAGAGCCACGAGGTGTTCTTGGACTTGAGCATCTGCTGTGGGTTCAGAAAAGCTTTCTTTAGCACAGGTGTTTTTTCTAAGCCTGTTGTGCTGAGGAGAGCAGCCCTCGCTCCTGTGGAGAAGGAATTCCTGCTAATTAACACACAACTCTGGATTTCACTGGGAATTCTCTGACCTCTCCTTTGCTCCTTGTTAAAGGGGAAGTTCACACCACTTAATGGAACTGTTGCTTTACTTTATCTCTTGCTCCTACAGGTTAGTACCAGATGCAACACAGCCCAGAAAGCAGGGGATGAACTGCTAGGCCTCCAGGACAGGCTGAGACACTTGATTTTTGTTACTTTACCTCCTTTCCCATCTCTCCTGCCATGTGTTCATACACATGAAGGCTGCTGTTCCCATCAGGCTTTTCCTTTCAGCTGACCTTTTCCAGGCCTTTAATGATCCAACAGCTGCCTCTTGGGCTCATTTTTTAGGTTTCCCTCCCCTCCTGGTTGCTTTGAGCGTGTTGGCTCGTGAAGGTTTTCATGGGGAGTAGAATTTGTCCTGCTTTGAATAAGCAGCTCCAAAGCCTCCAGGCTGTTTTATTATTTATATGTGGCAATAAAAACCATTATTGCCATATATGTAACAGTGCAACTTCAGCTTTCCTTGGGTGTTCTCAGCATGGTAAGTCTTTCATAGAGCAGGATTCCTGTGCTTTAGTGCAGTTGTGAGCATGTTTGCTTTGGACAATAAATAATTTACACCAGCCTTTGAACTGAAAAATGAAAATACAGATGTAACAGTTTTGTAACTTTCTAATGCTGGATTATAAACGGGAGTAATTTCAACGAGGTGAAATGGCCGGATTTGTCCATGTGGAGCAAATTGTAGCAGAGCTGTTCTACTGCAGGTGATTACTTCTAGCAAGCCCTGACATTGTTCTTTATCCTCTTGTTCTGTGCAGCACCCCTTGTGAAAGCTGAATAATTAATCTGGTTATTGCAAACCTGGTTAGTGATTGGGAAATCACTCATCCACCAGATGAATAATTGAGATTAACTTCCTGCCAGGTGATCTGAGTGTCTTTGTGTGAGGGATAAGGGGACCCTTGGGAGTTGTGCTGTTGGGAGTGAAGTAACTGCCTGGCAACTGGACAGCTCTGTAACCCCAGGGCTACAGATGGATCTCCATTTCTGGGTTTGCTTCAGCTCTTAAGGGCTCTGAGGTGTTAAACTGAAGGACAGTTGGTTTTGATTAGATAAAAGTGAATTTTTTACAGTGAGGGTGGTGAGGCCCTGGCACAGCTTGCCCAAAGAAGCTGTGGCTGCCCCATCCCTGCAAGTGTCCAAGGCCAGGTTGGACAGGGCTTGGAGCAACCTGGGCTGGTGGAAGGTGTCCCTGGCATGGCAGGAGTGGAATGGGATGAGCTTTAGGGTCCCTTCCAGCCCAGCCTCTCCTGGGATCCTGTGCTGGAGCCATTTGCACACAGAGCGGTGCAGATGCTGCCGAGGCTGCCACGTGAGCCCTGCACTGAGCACCTGATTAATGTTGTCTTTTCTTTTTCTGTGTTTTTTTTTTTTGCTTCTTCTCTCCGTTGCCTCCCTTCCTCCTTTTCCTGCTTAACCCAGAAAAACTGATTGAGGGACTCAAATCTCCCGAGCCTGCGCTTCTGCTCCCCGACGTCCTGCCTCTCGCTGACCCCTTCGGTAGCACCTCAGACGCTGTCAATGGTAACAACCAACCCAGCCCCTCCCCTCTGCCTGCCCTGCCCTGCATGGTGACTCCACAAGCACCCCCCAGGTTCCCCAGACAGCCCCTGGTGCTGCTGAAACACAACGTGTAGGCACTTGGGGGTTGTGCTGAGGCAGATTCTGCCTCTTCTCCATGGGATGAGCACCCGAGGAGTGAGGTTTGGTGTTTGTGTCTGGAATCCAGGGGTACTGATCTGGCCCAGCAACGTGGCACAGCTGTGGTTGAAGGAGAAGACACCAAAAATCCCTCCCTTTCTGGTCAAGACTCTGACCAGGCCCTGAGCTGGTCTGTCTCTCCATGGACCCTCAGCAGGAGGAGGAGAAGAAGGAAGGACAGCATTCCCTAGAGCTGGGGAATGCTGGGAATAATGTGCTAGGCTGCTGTGAGCCTGGATGCAGCAGGCATCAGGCAGGACTAAGATTCTGGAGTGTTGCAGAATCATGTTTTGATCTCCTTGCCAAGTAATTGCAGGCTCAGTAGTTGCCATCAGCTGATGGTGTGGGCTGGGGTCCCAGCCAGGGTCCCTTGGCCAGCTGGGTGCAACCTGTGGCTTTGAGTGGAGAGGAGGGCAATGAGTCACTGTAACAGGAAAACTCCTTCTCCCTTTTGCATTTTTTGGCAGTTGTCTGAACGCTCTTAGGTAATGATCCTGCAGATCACAGGCACACTCACTGCTGGGAAATCAGAAGTGATCAGTAATCTCTCTTGGGCTGACCAATTAGGCCATTTGTGCTTCAGCATTTGGGTGCATCCTTGTCCTTTAATTGAACTTGGTCATTACCTCGCTGTTGGTCCCTGAGGAGGAGACCCAGACAGTCCTTGCATGTGGCTGCTGTGACAGGTACCTGCCATGGCTCTCCCCTCCCTTTGTGGTTTCTACAACCCAAATCCTTCCACCCAGCCTTTGTAAACATCTCCTATTGCCTCCACGTGATGGGTGAGGTGGATACTGGGGATTGGGGCTTCCAGTGAGATGTCAAGTTCCAAAATTTTGTCACCTCCCTGCTGGCTCTGCAATCCTTGCTCCATTGGACCCTTAAGTGGGAAAAAAGATCCCACATCTTGGCTTTTTACAGGCTTAACTGGGACTGTGCTAAGGGCTCCAAAGCAGGTGTTTTGATGACCTGTTACTCCTGTTGCAAGGGGACTCTGTCACAGTCAGGCTTTTCCTTTTCCTGGACAAGGATCTTGTGGATATTTGCCCAACCCCAGGTCTCCTGCTTGGCTGCAGGGCAGGTGTTACTACCCTGCTGTTCTGTGCTCAAATTGGGCTTGCATAAATTAAAACAAATAAGTGAAACCAAATAAAAGCACTGATGAGTTACGGTCTTCCCTCGGGATTCAATTGGACTCCAGCCCCCTGTGCTGCCACGTCACAGGGTCACTAAAGGGTTCAGACAGCTGCTGCCTCAGCTCCTGCCTCTGCCTTTCCTTGCTAACTCTAACCTCTGGCTTCTCCCCTGCTCTGCTGCTTTTCCTGTGGAAAGGGAAGCCCGAGGTGGCCGTGGAGAGTCTGATCCCGGGGCTGGAGGCCCCGCTGCCCCAGCGCCTCGTGTCCCAGAGCGAGTCCGTGGCCTCCAACAGAACAGGTTGGTGAGGCAGCCCGGGCTGGGGGCACAGGGGGGCTCTGGCAGCCAGGAAACAATGGCTGGGCCCATGGAAGCAGCTGCCTCTCACTGCTCTTCTCACCAGCTGGGCCTGCCCCTGTGTCTCGTGAGGGGGTGCTGGGTGGTTCCTCCAAGGGCCATGTCAGGTCTGAAAGGTTCTTCCCCCAGAGGGTGGTGGGCACTGCCCAGGCTCCCCAGGGTTTGGTCACGGCCCCAAGGCTGACAGAGCTCCAGGAGTGCTTGGACAGCACCCTCAGGCACAGGGTGGGATTGTTGGGGTGTTTGTACATGGCCAGGAGTTGGATCAGTGATCCTTGTGGGTCCCACTCATCTCAGGGTATTCCATGATTCCGTGGTACAGCATTCCCTGAACCCAGCAGCACAGACCTGTAGGTGCTTTAGAACTCTGGCTGCTGTCCCACGGAGGGTGTCCCATGGAGGGTATCCCATGGAGGATGGCCACAACCTGGCCCTTTCTCACCATACAGGCCTTGATCAGGCCACTGTCACAGCAGCTGGACTGTAGCTCTTTTCAGAGGTCTCTGAAAACAGGCAGTTTGCATCAGGTTTGCAGCTCTTCCCTCGCTGCACAGCCCCACTGTAACCTGTCCCTGTGGGATTTCCCTGTCTGTTCAGCTTCAGAGGGCAGAGAAGGTGGGAAATGTTTCTGGAGGTGTTGGTCCCCTCTGCCCTCACTGAAGAGAATGTTTTCCATCACAAGAAATGGCAGCTCTTTGTACTGGCTTGGATCAAAACTCTGCTTGTACCCTAAGTGTGTGTGTGGATGGGAATGTGGGAATGTGAGCTTAACACTCTTTGTGTCCTGTTCAATGCTACCCTGGGATGCTCACCTGGATCCAGACTCTCTCACTGGGGAAGACTCTCTGCTTGACTGTTCTCTGCTCTCTAACCCTGCTGCTGATCTCCTGGATGAGTTTGCTCCTGTAGCTTTTGCAGCTCAGCCTCACAAAGGTAAACTGGCTCTGCCCCTGATCCCCTGCTGTGTGGGCTGGAGCTGATGTGAAGCAAAGCTTACACTGGCAAAGTTTACACGGGCAGATGCTCTGACCTGTGTTCTGGTGCTGTTTTCTTTTCTTTTCCTCGAGCCATTGTTTTGTTTTCTTCCCAAACTTGGAGTGTACACTGAAGTACTAAGGGAAAAAACATAAAGGATTCAGCTTGACTGTCAAAGTAGGTGGCATTTGCCCTGGAACAGGGATCCACAGAAGGGATCCAGCAGGCATGAAGGATGGGCTCTGTGTGCAGCCCTTCTGCTTTTGCTTCTCCACATGGGATTTAGGGCCTGGTTTTAATCTGCATGACTGAATCTGGAAGGGAGCCTGATAATCACCTGTCACAGGTTTTTGAATCAAAAGGTGGGGGTTTGGGTTTGTTGGAGTTGGTGTCCCAGGCTCTTCCAGCTCTAGAGGATGTTTCCCTTGCCAGAGGACCTTGGGAGAAGTTCTGGAGTCACAGCAAACACAGAGGAGAGCCCAAGGGCAGTGTCCAGCTGAGGAGGGGAACAGTGTCATGGGAACACAGAAGCAGAGTGGAGAGGCAGAGCAGGTGTGTGGGGATTGCCAGGAGCTGCAGGTAGAGCTGTGCAGGGATCACGGGTCTGGTCCATCAGTAAACAAGACCTGAGGGACCCTGGAGCTGGCTCACAGCTCATCATCACGTGGCTTTTCTTTCTCCCCAGCTGAAATCCAGGCCCTCTCCATGGCTGGAGCAGTGGCACAGGAATGCTGTGGAGAGCTGTCAGCTGGAGTGGGGAGTGCACAGGTCCTTCTCCTGCTCTGGCACATCCCTGTCCTGGGCTGGAGCAGCTCTGAGCAGGGCCTGTGTCCCCTGGGGATGGGGACAGGGGCTGGGGGGTGGCTCAGCTGAGCCAGGCTTGCAGGGAATATTGGATAATACCCGGGTGGGAGGGAAGGCCAGGACTTTGGGCTATTTATTGCCTTGAAAAGAGAGGCCCAGAGCAGCAGTGCTGATTTCTGGGTGCCCCTTGGTGCTGGGTTGGCTCAGCTCCTTTGGTGAGTATCCCTATAGCAACAGAAATGATCTGCCCTCAGAGGAGTTGCTGTGAAAACAGTCTGTAATCAATTTTTACACTTGATGGCACTTCAAAATGAGTTTGTGTGTTCCACAGAGCTTTTGGGTTAAACAGGCAGTTGTTCTGT